AAGTGGGCTAAGGACATGAATAGGCAATTCTCAAAAGAAGATATACAAATGGTTGACAAGCATATGGAAAAATGCTCAGCATCTCTAATGATCAGAGAAATGCAAATCGAAACCATAATGCAATACCATCTCACTTCTGCAAGAATGGCCATAATCAAAAAATAAAAACGAAAATAGGTGTTGGCATGAATGGTGTAAAAAGGGAACTCTTACACTGTTGATGGGAATGTAAACTAGTACAACCATGGAAAATAATGTGAATATTTCTTTAAAAAGTAAAAGTAGATCTATCATTTGATTCAGCAATCCCACTACTAAATACCCAGAGAAAAAGTCATAACACACACACACACAAAAATTACACATTCATGTTTATAGCAGCACAATTTGCAGTTGCAAAAATATGGAACCAGCCCAAATGCCCATCAATCATCAAGCAGATAAAGAAAATGTGGTATATACATACCATGGAATACTACTCAGCCATAAAAAGGAATGAAATAATGACACTCACAGCAACCTGAATGGAATTGAAGACTATTATTCTAAGTAAAATAACTTAGGAATGAAAAACCAAGCATCATATATTCTCATTCATATGTGGGAGCTATGAGGGTGCAAAAGCATAAGAATGGTACATTGGACTTTGGGGACTCAGGGGAAAGGGTGAGGGTGGCAAGGAATAAAATACTACACATTGGGTACAGTGTACACTGCTTGGGTGATGATGGGTGCACCAAAATCTCAGAAATCACCACTAAAGAATTTATTCATATCAAACACCACCTGTTCCCCCAAAACCTATTGAAATTTTAAAATTAAAAATTAAAAAGTTTTAAATTAGTACCATTTCTATATGTCAACAATGAATGATGTGTAAAATAAATTTTAAAATTACCCCATTTACAATAGCCACACACAAAATTAAATATGTAGGAATTAATCAAAGAGATGAAAGATCTGTATAATGAAAAATATAAAATACTGAAGAAAGAAATTAAAGAGGATGCCCCAAAAAAATGAAAAGATATTCCATGTCACAGATTGGAAGAATCAATATTGTTAAAATATTCATAGTACCCAAAGCAATCTACAGATTCATTGAAATCCCTATCAAAATAGCAATGACATTCTTCACAGAAATAGAAAAAAAGTCCTAAAATTTGTGTAGAACTACAAAAGATCCAGAATAGCCAAAGTTATTTTAAGCAAAAAAGAACAAAAATGGAGGAATCAAGTTACCTAACTTCAAATTATACTACAGAGCTACAGTAACCAAAACAGCATGGTAGTGGCATAAAAACAGACACACAGACCACTGCAACAGAATAGAGCACCCAGAAACAAATCCACACACCTATAGTGAACTCATTTGCAACAATGGTGCTAAAAACATACACTGGGGAAAAGAGAGTCTCTTTCATAGTGCTGGGAAACTGGATATCCATGTGCAGAAGAATGAAACTAGATCCCTATCTCTTGCCATATACAAATAAATCAAATCAAAATTGATTAAAAAAATTAAATCTAAGATGTCAAACAATGAAACTAAAAGAAAACATTGGGGAAAATCTCCAGGACATTGGTCTGGGCGGAAATTTCTTGAGCAATATCCTACAAGCACAGGCAACCAAGGCAAAAATGGACAAATGTGATCACATCAAGTTACAAAGTTTCTGCACCACAAAGGATATAATCAACAAAGAGACAACCCAAAGACTGAGAGAAAGTATTTACAAACTACCCATCTGACAAGGGATTAATCACCAGAATATATAAAGACCTCAAACATTTATAGGAAAACAAATCTATTAATCTGATAAAAGTGAGCAAAAGGTTTGTATAGACATTTCTCATAATATGACATACAAATGACAGACAGGCATATGGAAATGTGTTCAACATCATTGATCAGAGAAATGTAAATCAAAAGTACAATGAGATATCGTCTCACCCCAGTTAAAATGGCTTGTATCCCAAAGATAAGCAATAACAAATGCAGGTGAGAATGTGGAGAAAAGAGAACTCTTATATACGGTTGGTAAGAATATAAGTTAATACAACCACTATGGGGGACATCTTGAAAGTTCCCTAAAGAACTAAAAATAGAGCTACTATGTGAACCAGTAATCCCACTGCTGAGTGTATACCCAAAAGAAAAGCAATCGGTATGTTGAAGAGATATCTACACTTCCATGTTTGTTGCAGCACAGTTCACAATAGCTAAGGTTTGGAAGCAACATAAGCATCCACTTTATCCAGATGGATGGATAAAGGCAATGTGATACATATTCACAATGGAGTACTACACGGCCGTAAAAAAAGAGTAAGAGCCTATCATGTGCAACAACACGGAGGGAACTGGAGGTCATTTAGTGAAATGAGCCTGGCAGAGAAACGAACATCGCATGTTCTCACTTATTTGTGGGAGCTAAAAATCAAAACAATTGAACTCATGGACATAGAGAGTAGAAGAACGGCTATCAAAGACTAGGAAGGGGAGTGGGAAGTTGGGGGAGGTGTGGATGGTTAATGCATACAAAAAATTAGTTAGAATAAAATGAATAAGACCAACTATTTGACAGCACAACAGGGTGACTGTAGTCAATAATAACTTAATGGTGCATTTTTAAATAACCGAAAGAGACTAATTAGATTCTAACTCAAAGGATACATGCTTGAGAGGATGGCAAACCCATGATCCATGTGATTATTATGCATTGCATGTATGAATCAAAACATCTCACGTACTTCATATATATACCTACTATGTATCCACAATAATTAAAATTTTTAAAATTTTTGTAAAACTAAAATAGTGTCAGCTACCAGTGAAACAAACTAATAGGCTCATTTTTATCAATAAAATACACTGAGACAGTCAGCTGTATATATAAATATACATTGTATGACATATCTACTCACATGAAAGAACAGTACACCATCTATTGGTCAGACAGCTCTCAGGGCTGGACTTCCGCATATTTTCTAACATCTTTACTCTCATCGGAAAGTCCTGGCAGCCAAACAAATGTCAGAGAACTTTAATCTCTGTAGTCAGCTAGACTTACCTTTCAAGGGGAACATCTTACTGGGATGTAAGTTCTGATCATTGAAACCACTGGTTGATATTTGATGAAACTCTCAACAAAAATGCCGCATGAGTGTTCCTGAAGAGAAAAAAAAAAAAAAAACTGTGAACTTGTTTTCCTTAAATCTAATGGTTCAAAAATAAAAGTTAGAGTTTTTAAAATTCAGGAATTAAGTCAAAGGACAACAGAGTTAAGTAATAAAATGTTTACATTTAGAAAACACCCAAGTAATAGCTGCTGACATTATGTCACAGACATTTTGTTGCCTGCCAGTGTGTAGACACCTCCTGATCACACTTGTTTGAGTGTAAAGGTCTGATTTTGACAGGCCTGTATTATAGGACAGGCTCAGCAACTTACTATGGGTATGAATTTTGACTAAATATCTCATCATTTCAGAGCAGGTTCTACATTCCCTACTAATAAAATGGAGATAATATAACTCAGGGGTTGTTAAACTGGCCAGAGAATATTTCAGTCTTTGCAGACTGTACTATCACTGTTGAAAATACAGACATACTTCGTTTTATTGCATTTCACTCTATCATTCTTTGCAGATATTACATTTCCTACAAACTAAAGACATGTAGCAATTCTGCATTGAGAAAGTTGAGCACCATTTTTCCAACATGTCCTCACTTCATGTCTGTGTCATATTTTCATGATTCGCACAGTATTTCTAGTTTTTCAGTATTGTATGTGTTGGCACCAGGAACCAAGTTCATAAAGACAGGAAATGTAATAAATGTTGTGTATATTCCTACTGCCCCACTGACCAGCTTTCTTGTCTCTCTTCCTCTTCTCAGCCCTGTCTATTCCCAGAGACAGCAACATTAAGACGTTAATTAATAACCCTACAATGGCCTCTAAGTGTTCACATGAAAGGAAGAGTTGCACATTTCTTACTTCAAATCAAAATATAGAAATGGTTAAGCTTAGCGAGGAAAACATGTCAAAAGCCAAAATCAACCAAAAGCTAGGCCTCTTGTGCCCAACAGTTGAGTTTTGAATGAAAGGAAAAGTATTGAAGGAAATCAAAAGCAATCATAAATAATACAGGAACCAACTGGAATTGTATTTCCTCTTAATTCTAGCCTTTTGATAGGTGCAGGATGGATGAACCTAAATCCCCAAACTGATTTGAAATTGCTAACACAGAGAAAAGGAAAGTGATACAGAGGGGAAGAAAAATACAGAAAAGTGAAGACTGAAATAGTCTACTTTCTGAACCAATTACAAAGAAAATTGATTTCATCTTATTTTACACATATCATTAGAAGTCAGTGAAATGGGGATCAACTGGAGAATTAGATTACATTAGTTCCCATTATCCATAGGAGATGCTTTCCAACACCCTCAGGGAAGTCCTGAAATCAGGGTTAGTACCAAACCCTATGTATATACTATAATTTAATTTTTCTTATATGTATCTATGATAAAGTTTCATTAGGCACAGTAAGACATTAACAATAATAAAATGTAAAATATTCTACAACAAGACTTGTGTGAATGTGTATCTCTTTCCTTGGAGTAGGTAACAAGTATGAAATGGGATTATGAATTTCCATGAAGATACTAAGAATATTTTAGTATTTTGAGACCACAGTTAACTGCGAGTAACTGAAACCATGGGAAGCAAAACTTAATAAGGGAGGACTACTGTATATTAAATACTCAATTGTTACCAAAAACAGATTATGATAGGTAAGCCTGTTCACAAAATGCAATTGCCTCACACTTTATAAAGCTCTGTGAAGCAGGAATTAAGCTTTCTTTAAAAATTACAAATAACTATTAAGAATTGTAAAAGTTTATTTAAAAATATCTTTATTACAAGTTTAAAATATGGGAAGGAAAGGCTTTTCTCCCTACCCGAACAGTTCATAAATATGGACAACAGAGCCCATTTCTCATTTAAAAATATCACATTTGAAATGATAAAAGACAATATCCAGTGACTAGTCCAACTTCTAAAAGGCAATGAAATCTTCAAGCAGCGAGAATACCAGGTGAAGTAGGGTTGCCTCATCATCCAGAATGCACAGCTTTATTTTTGCACTTAGGAAGCGATAACATTATGTAGTTCAACAAGGGAATACTGTTCCTGTAAGGAAGGAAAAGAAACAGTCACATTGTTGTACTGATGGGAAACTACTATCCAACTAAAGAACCACTGAAGCTCAACAAAATGGGGAAGTGGGAAAAGAAGGCATCAAGTTTAAACCCCAGGAACCATTATAATATTCTAATGACTCGACTATCACAAATACCATATATACACATGTATGCACACATATATATATTGTGTGTATATATAGCTATTAGTTATCAAATGCTTAGTAAATGACTTAGCAAATGATTATAAATTGTACATAAGTGTACCATCTCAAGTTTAGAATTATGACGGTTGGTCAATTTGTGGAATAAGGGCCTGTCCCTCTACCATACTGAAGTCCAAAGATTATAGCCTATTTGAATAGTTTTACAGCTCATTTGAGTTTTCTCTTGCAGGCATTTAGTTCTTCCAGAACAAAAAGCTGAAATTAGAGCTAACATAGATATTAATTACTATCTTTATGGGACTCTATGATCCCATTGCATACTTAGATTACATGCTCCAAAGATGGTTTTTCCCTAGCTGAAAGAAATTGACAAAAGAAATGTTGAGGTTACAATTGCAAATCTCTTTTACATAAGGAAATAAGACATGCCAAGATAAAAATATATCCTTAATAACCATAAAAAAGGCAATATTCCTGGGCAATAGTACACAAAGTGTGCCATATGTCGCCACCTTACTAAACCCTGGCCTTTTTTATATGAATGTACTCGTAAACATTTATGGTCCTAATTCAAAATACTCTTACGCATAAGACGCTCTTGGATGGATTCCCAAGTCCTTAACTTCCTGTGATAGTGAGCGGTGCTGCCCCACTGGCCTTCTGCATTCACGTCTATTATTCTCTCTCCTTCTCATCACGAAGATTATTGGAAACCTTCTGAACAAGAGAAAAAAATACATAGATTTAAGCTTTCTGTCTATTATGCTTTTGGGGGTGGATAAAAAGTTGAACTCTGGAGAAAGAATCTAAATTAGACAGATGTCTTTTGGCTGTGAGAGAATGCCAAATCCGCTAGCTTAGACCAATATGAAAATTTGTTATTTCACAGAACATGAGAAAAAAGTTACAGAAGGTTAAATACAACTTTTCATTTTCCCAAAATGTACTATTGTGATCTGAAGCTAATTTCATAGACTTTCAAATACCAACACCTCTTAATAAGTGGCTGAAGCAGCTCTTATCTCTAATCATCTCATCAGACATCTGCAGAGAATTAGAAGCATGCAGTTCTGAGTTCTTGGCCTATGACAGAGGGATAAGTGAGGTCACTAAAATTCTCCCTCCCTTAATGAAGCCAAATAAGGGTGTTTTTATCAGATTCTCCAACACTGAGGTGCCTACAGCAAGAGGATGACATTTTACTCCTAAGTATCTGCCTATACATGTGAGAGACATGGAAGTGTAGAAAAGGGGACAGAACGGGCATATTCTCCCACCATGTATTGTAGTATGACTAAGTAATTTCCCCCACAGGTATCAACATTTTAGCCATATTTCCAGGATGTCACTCAAGATTACCTGTCAACTGGAGAGGGGACCTCAAGAAGCCAACATACTGGAATGAAAAACAACCAAGACAGAAAATGAGGAGGTTGTGTGGAGTCCCATGGTAGCATTTGTATGGACGAAGAAGTCTTGTCCAGACTGGTCCATCAGGAAATATGCAGTTGTGATGACCACCCCCTTTCTAAGGACTCAAAAACACACATCCATAATTCAAGGTAAACTTCTGGGTGAAGGTATAATTATCTAGCCAGCATCGCTAGAAATGGACCGCAATTACACCATGTAGCCATGAGATGATTGTGACCCAACGTCCTTCATCCTATCATACCCAGCAAAACATGCAAATAAAAGCAGCAGAGGGAAATGTACTACTCAGATTATCCTGAACTATCTTCCTTTCCAAATCTTTTGGGTGCTCTGTGAAACTCTAGGAGTCCTAAAGGAAACCTAAATTTGAATTAACATTGGAGATAGGGACCTGACTGGATTTTCACTTATGAGAAGGACCAAAGATGCTGTTAAAGAATAAGAAAAGCAGATATCACACAGTACAGTTGAAGTCAGTGGTTGTAAGATAAATATAGCCATTAAATTCTGTGTCTCCAGAAGTCAGAGTGTTCAAAATAGGTTGGAATGAATACTCTAGGGGCGGAGAGAACACACATGCAATTGGGTCTTGGGAACAGCTCACCCAGGGACTTGACCACAAGCAGAATTACCTCCACCTTCATCAACAGGCTCTCCTGCTTTCTTCTCTCATTGCAGAGAAGTTTCTCCAATAAGGAGGGAATTTTGGACATTAGAAAGTCTTGATTTTTTTTTATATTGCAGAACCTGACAAATCTGAGACTCAGTTCTAGTTTTAAAATTGTGAGAAAATATCGATTTTGAATCTCTTGGCTCCTCCCCACATCTGCAGAAAGGTGGTATGGTTTGTCCAAAAACTTAAGAGCTCCTATAATAGTCACAGATGAGGCAGGATGGGTGGGTCCGGACAGGGACCGGACAGGGAACACCACAGAAAAGGAAAGATTATCAACAAAGCCTTCTGATATAATCTGTTTAGTGACTGTAGAATTCAATTCTCATATAGCAACTGAGCCTTTTCTACTCATTCAGAATTACATTGAGACAATCAACTAAATTTTTTTAGATCACTCAAATGACCAAACAGAACACCATATATCAAATTTGATCCAACTGTAGCATAAAGTCCAGCCGTTTAGCTGACCAGAACACCTAGAAGCCAAAGATAATGTTAGATAGCCTGAATCTCAGCAGTCTGCTGCACTTACCTTTGAATATAGCATGATACCGGGATGTGTACATCGAAGTCAAAATTCGCCGAGTTATATACGATTGCACTTTCAATGAGAATACCTACTGGCTGTTCCTAAAGGTGTAAAGAATATAAATTATCTTAATTATATCTCTTTCAAATGATTTAAAATCCCATTTTTAAAATAGAGATTAAAAACAAAATAATGTTTATTTTATTTTTACCTTATAAAGTAAAGTAGGTATGAGTGCAAGGCATACAATGGAGGAGCAGAGCTAGGTGATAAAAATGCCTGGTCTGAGCAGACATTAACAGCCCCTGCCACGGGAGCAGGGACATTGTATTTGGCAGTTGAATCTGCAAAGACAACTTTTGATCACCACATTTAAGGGTCAGAGTCTGACTTAGGCAGACCTGAATTATTTCGTATGAATTTCAGCTAGATATTTGACAGCTTTAGAAAAGCAGTTGAGTCAGCCTCATGCTAAGTTGAGTACTTGGCAAGTGCTAGACTTTTTTTTTTTTTTTTTTTTTTTTGATGCCAGAGATATAGCAGCAAACAAATGGAGTCATGCACCTGGATCCAATAGTAGAATCTGTTCACCTAAACAATCTTTACCAGAAACAGATGTGACTCCAAAAAGGAAAAACTAGGCCGTTATTACAAAACACAGCAACAAGTTATTATTTTAAAAAAAAGCTTCCTGGTGACAGAAAAGATTGATTTCTCTCTTATTAATACAGGAGCTATATAATCTGATATACCCAATTTTCTTCCAAATTTTAGGTCAACAACAAAAGAGTGGGCTATTTGTGGTACTGTTTGAAAGCAAAATGTTTCCCCTCAAACTAGATTTTACCAGAGAATATTAAAAAAAAAAAAAAATCACTATTACAGGCAAAAGAGATATGTTGCCAAAAAATAGGCTTTGTTGTTGTTGCTGTTGTTCTTTGAGATGGAGTCTCATTGTCGCCCAGGCTGGAGTTCATTGGCACGATCTTGGCTCACTGAAACCTCCACCTCCCAAGTTCAACCAATTATCCTGCCTCAGCCTCCTGAGTAGCTGGGATTACAGGTGCACACCACCATGCCTGGCTAATTTTTATATTTTTAGCAGAGACGGGGTTTCACCATGTTGGTCAGGCTGGTCTCAAACTCCTGACAGTGTTATCTGTGATCCACGCCCCCACCCCCTCAGCCTCCTCAGCCTCCCAAAGTTATGGGATTACAGGTGTGAGCCTTCGCACCTGGCCTGAAAAAATAGTTTTTGAAATAGGAACCCCAAATCTTGTTTTTCCTACAGATAGAAGCAATATCCAAAAATGTTGAAGAGAGTAGTCAATATTACATGAACTATTAAATCAACCGACATTAAAATTTGAATAGTGCAGTTTTAGTCATTGGTTTCTAGACCAAAAACCATCAAAAGATATACTGTTTTTTGAAATAATAACTGCTCTTACAGTCACTACGATGCCACAAAAAGTTAGAAGATAAAAGAACACAAAGAAATCCGGCTCCACGAGGTTTACAGGACAGCCACTTCCTAGAAAGAGTTCATGTTGCAAAGGTTGCAGGTCATTTATCAGGGGCCTTTGTCTAAATTTGACCTGGAGCCAGGATTCAGTACAGGTTACAGCCACTGTTGAAAGAAAAATTTTAAAAAGGAAAATGTCAAATAGTGTGTCTGCTCCCAAACAAATAGCTGAGGAAACTTTCAACCTCTTGAGCTGAATTCCCAACCGTAGAGTGAAAACGTTTTGTTTCTATTTGTATATTTTTCTACTGGGAGATTTTGGGTCGATTACTTAATCTCTATGTGTCTGTTTTTTTCATCAGAACGTGGAAAAATGGTAGAAGCACTTCTTTAGAATTTCTAACCTAAATAAGTCAAATATCCCAACATGCACACTTTTTTTTTTTAGGGATTGTTCGAATTTTACTAACAGGTCTCATGACTACATTTCTGAAATATATCTAGGTGTAAAAGTGATATCTGAAATAGAGAAACAAGAAAAAGCATTGATATTTGGTTGCACACAGTGGAAAAATATATCGTGCTTCTACTGAAAATTGTATTTTGCATCAAAATATTTGAGCCAATAAATATTAACTGGTACGTGAAATTAAAGAATTCTGAAACAAAATAATATTGCAGTTACTTTGATAATATTTTTAGGATTTTCAACTATGTTAAGTTTTGGTTTGGTGTCTTCATTTTCACTACATTTCTATGACGTCAGTTTTATTATTATGCCACATTTACACACAGATAAATTTAGTCACATAGCTGCTAAGTGGCAGATCAGGATTAAAACCTATGCAAAATCTATTCAGAGCCTCAACTCCGAAAAGGAATCATTTACAATTAAATACAGCTGACCACTCTGTCCAATCTTCATACGCCATGGCCAGAAATGTGGACCTACGTAACCTCCTCTCCTAGGCACCAGGCAGTCTCTCCTGATTTTGCCAGTCACTATAAGTATTTCGCATTCAGCAAAGTAACAAGCTAGTATCCAGCAGAGAACCTGGAAATACTTTGCATGTAAGAAAAATTTAAAACAACAGCATCTCGAGATTAGCTTAGAGGAAAAATTCAAAAGGAAGTACAGGGATAAAGATAAAACTATGTCTGGTTCTAACTTTGCAGTCCTTAGTTACTAGCAGTTGATCACCAGATTATGAAAACAAACGTCCAAAGTCAACAATATGTTTTTTAAAAAGCCCTGCTGTTTAAAATTGCCACCTCCAAAAATTCCCTCTTTGTATTACCATCTTGGAGACCATGAATCAACTTGAAAAGCATGAGGAGCTCTCCTAACATGAAAGATATCTTCATTGCTTCAGATTCCAGCCCAAGGTATCACAGGAAACAGAAAATCTAGGGAAGTGGGCCTCCGCAGGTGTTTATAAACCTCTTGCCTCCTCAGGTGTGAGTGATGATTTATCATTCTGGAAAGCACTGAGAAGCCCTTAGCATAAATCCTCACAGCTGAAGTTATTAGATTGGTGCAAAATTAATTGCATTTTTTGCCTTTGAAAGATAAATCAGAAAATCCGGAAAGAACATGTGGAAAGTGATTCTAGGCTGCACCCCCTACCACTGTGTCTTTTTTCTCAATCATGTGGATGTGTCTGAAATTAAGTCTGACATAATATTTGATATTTATCTATTGAATTGTTAAAGTAGGGCTTTGCAAGATGATTTGAGAAATTCAAGTGGGTGATACAAAGGGATTATTTATAAAGTGAATAACAGTACCGCATATTATATTCAGATCCAATAAGCCTGGGACCAGATGTACTCACTAATTGGTGCTTGCAATCAGCTTCAGGAGGCTTTGATTAGGTGAACAAATCCACACACCTGTGGTCTAAGCCAAAATAATCCTTTCTGGTTTAATTTTGCTTTCTCTAGAAGTACTTTATTATGAATGTGCCCATATCTAGAAAGCTAAAGAAATATTCGCTAAGGGCATTTTTTGACAATTAAATCTGGTAATGAAAAATTGTAAGAAAAAAGGGAAAATGGATAAGAATAACATTACCTGATTCTACATTTTGGTAGAAGTCAACCTCCAAAAAACTTCGTCTCAAAAGCAAAAGCCTAATAAGTTATTTTTAGAAATTGTGTAGCATATCACATAGATTGCCTCAGCTTCTAAGTAAAAAATAATTGTTGTTTTTAGCTATGTAATTCTCCAGGATTATGAATCGATGTAACAAAGAGCAAGCAAAAATATCTATGAACATCAGGAACCTCGAAGTACTTTCTACTATTTTTATTAAATTGCATGTTCTTTAAAATTAGTTGGATTTCATGTTAAGGTATCTAATACTTAAATTATATTTGGGAATGAGAGCCTTACAGTAGATTCAATTTGTGAAGAATATTTCAATGGTTTTTATTTGAAAATACTTATCTGTTTTCTTATTTAAGAGGTGAATAAATATGTTATTTTAAATAGCTAACTACATAGAAGTAGATAAAATAATACTGGAATTTCTAATTCCAATAACTTACATGCTTTCCTCCTCTATTGAAATAACCACTAATTTTTATAAGTGTTAAATTCACATAAAATTAACAGTTTTAAAGTATATAATTCAGTGGCACTTGGTACATACACATGTGTGCAACCATCACCCTTAGAGTTGCAAAATATTTTCATCATCCCCCCAAAGGAAAACTTACACTTTTTAAGCAACTCCCGACTCCTCCTTTCTCCCAGCCTGTGGCAAGCACCAAGTTACTTTCTATCTCTTCAGATTTACCTATTCTGGACATTTTGTAAAACTTGAATCATACTCTTAACTTAAAAAATCATGGTATTTATTTACTTATTTACAAATTAAGGAGGCTTTATTTCTTATAAAGGGTTATAGACTGTAAGATGGCCATCCTAACAGGCTGGGATGCATAGCCTCCAGCAGAGCCTGAAAGGCAGGCACATTGCAGGAAAGGAGGCGTGAGACAGGAATTTATGCTGACTGGGTTGGCCAAGTATACATATTCAACAGGTTATAGGAGAAGCTATGAATATTCATTGAGGTGGTCCTAACACATAAGTGCTGAATAAACATGCATGTTATATATGACCCCTGTTCACTCTGGGGTGGAGACTTAACATTCAAATGTATTACAATTAGGCCCTACACATCTAAAGGTCTTGCCAGGACAGAAAGTTATGCAAGTGTGCAACCTCTGTTAGCTGGCCAGAACCAGTCCTTGGTCAGTCCTATCTTATCAAGAGAAAGTTGCTGAAATGAGTCTCTTGCCCAATCAAAGCTGTAGTTACAGCTTGTGGCACAGGAAGGTCAGTTAGCCTCTGGCAGTGGATGAGCTGTAATTGTTTTAATATTGCTTATCTCAAGGCCAGTGCTTGTTTAGCTTCTGGGAAAAAAAGAAAAAAAAAAACAACCCTGTGGCAGTTAGAACAAAGTTTATTCTTTAAGCGTAGGGGTGCGTGACTTAGCCATTATTTGCCATGGCCTTGGGTCCTCTTTATAATGTGGTATGTTATTACCACAAAGAGTTTGCTGTGTCAGCCTTATGATCTCTTTTTTAACATTAATGCTGGTCAGGTGTTGTGTCTAAACCACAGAAGGGAAGTGGTGTAACAAGGCATGTCCAACCCCCCATCCCGTGATGGCTGGAAACATAGTTCTTAGGGTTTCTCTGGGGTTCTCTGGCCAAGAAGGGGGTTCATTCAATCAGTTGAAGGCCTAGAATTTTATTTTTAGTTCACATGGTGTCATGAATCCATACTTCATTTATTTTTATGGCTGAATAGTTTTCCGTGGCATGAGTATGGCACGTTTGGTTTAGTCATTCATCAACTGATAAGCTTATGGGTTGCTACCATCTTTGTGAATAGTACTACGCTGAAAGCACTTGTTCAACATTGTTTGAATACCTCTTTTCAATTATTTTGGGTATATAACTCAGCTTTAATCGCCTCCCATTCATCCCCTTGCTGAGGGAGAGATTCCTATTTTAGGGTTATGGTGATAGCCAAACACACAACACCTGACACTGAGCAGATGCACTCAAAAGCAATTCATTGGTATGTACATTCAGGCCTTGGAGAGAATGCCACACAGCACATGGGTCCACACAAGGACTGCACTTAGGAGCAGAGGGAAAAACCAGGGGCTCTGGGACACAAGCTTTGTAATATCAAGAGGGTGAGGTGACCCCTAGATCCCACAGGAGCATATGATTGACTTGTTTGAATAATTCTACAGGCTGCCAGGGAACTGAAACCCACTGTTCAGAGATAAGCGGGAACTGTATCTGGTCTCCTTGATAAGCAGAGTTGTTTAGCAGGGATCTTATCTGCAGGGGCAGAGTAGGGAGGGAAATGTGCAGTTAGGCCATGATAGCCCTTCCGCTTTCACCAGATGCCGAGATAGCACGTGATATCAGGCCTTAATATTAGTCCTTACATAACAAGCTAGAAGTGAAACTGCCAAACTCCCCCACGGTGGCTGTGTTATACAGCCACTGTGAAATACGACAGATTTCAGTTTTGTTTTAAACAGAAAAATTATTCAGCTAAAAAAAGTTGAGAAAAAGTTAAAGTCCCAGGCTTACAAATGACAATGTATGATGTCTTTTATGAAGTGTATGTGCTGGTTAAATTAGTTATGCCTATCAACCTTGTTACTGTTTTCTTCTGAGATGGAGCCTCACTCTGTTGCCCAGGCTGGAGGGCAGTGGTGCAATTTCAGCTCAATGCAAGCTCCGCCTTACATTTCTTTTTTGTTTTGTTTTGTGTATTTTTAACTTTTAAGTTCAAGTCTACAAGTACAGGTTTGTTACATAGGTAAATTTGTGTCATGGGTGTTTGTTGTTCTGATTATTTCATCACCCAGGCATTAAGCCTAGTACCCATTAGTTATTTTTGCTGACTCTCTCCCTCCTCCCACCCTCCACCCTCCAAAAGGCCTCAGTGTGTGTTGTGCCCCTCTATGTGTTCTTGTGTTCTCATCATTTAGCTCCCACTTGTAAGTAAGAACATGTGGTATTTGGTTTTTTGTTTCTGCATTAATTTGCTAAGGATGATGGCCTCCAGCCCCTCCATGTCCCTGCAGAGGGCATGATCTTGTTCTTTTTTATGACTGCATAGTATTTCA